TGCATGTGACTCACGAACTGTAACATCATGGATGTGCCTTACGAACTGCAACTGTAACATTGTGCATGTGACTCACGAACTGTAACATCATGGATGTGCCTTACGAACTGCAACTGTAACATTGTGCATGTGACTCACGAACTGTAACATCAAGGGTGCAGCCATCAGTCTGCCCCCCTACTCAGGCCAGCATAGACAACTGACTCATTGATGGAGTTTGGCTTTGACCTTGACCACAGTTTGCACCTTGCATTTAGCAAGCAAGCCCACTCTTTCTTTTTCTATAATATTAGCATGCCCTGGGGGGGGGGGGGGGGGGGGGGGGGGGGGGGGGGGGGGGAATCCATTTTTAATAAATTAGCAGAAGTGATAGCAGGTCTTTCAAGGGAGGGCGAATCTATAGATGTGAGAAGGGACCTCATTCGCTGATTGTAGTATTCACCAACTGGATGATTACATAACAAGTTTCTAATATCTATGTGAAATAGGGCTAAATAAGCGACATACTGCTTAAATGTCAGTTTATCTCACTTGCAAACGTTAAAGCCTGAAACGGATCAATGTCTCGGTTGACGGCAACCTATCCGCCTTGTAATGACTTTTTAAAACACCGATGAATACTAAGACATTTTCTGCATTAGCCTTTTGAAATCTCTATTTTGTGTCGAACTATAAAATTAACAAAAAGGAAAACTGGAAATATGACTCAATGCCAAATCATTTTTCTTTTCGATTCTTGTTTTTGCAAAGGCGATCAAATGACGCGGGACGTTTATTCCGTTCGCGTGCTTTTGCTAAAAATAACCATTAAATTGTCTCCGTCGGACTGTGGGATGTGGCGCTGAGAGATGAAGCAGGCTAATTGGTCTGCCGGTTCCATTATCCATTCCGGGTCTTGGTGGCATCTTGCTCTTTTCTGTGTAGTTTTCTCCTATCTGTCTACGCCGCAGCAGCACTAGGCGCTGGGTACCGAAAGCAGAGATTCCTGATCCGCCTGAGACATCTCCATCGCTGGATCCCTTTCCCCTAAATTCGCTTCATATCCGGATACTGGTTTAGGATTAACCGAATCTGAGCAAACGTGCGGTCCGTTTCGTCAAAAAAAGACGAGGTAAGAGCTCGACTGGGAAAAAATAATGCTTTTTAAAAAAATACATCAATTTTGCGACTGTGCCTAGCACTGCACACTCATAACAGACCACAATCAGCTGTTGATTTCACAGTTGATTATTGATCTCTGAGAGGTTTTTTTTATATATTCCTTTTGTTTTGCATTTTGCCTTGTTTTGCAATTCAGTGGCTTGGCGAAACGCTCTAGCCATATTCGCTTTATTTATACCCAATGCTAGAGACTCCACGCTTCGGATCATGTTTAACGAACAGGAAACAATATGCTAGATCCAGAAAACAAAGGGACGGGGGCTGGCGACATATTTATGTGTTAATCTGTTAAATGCGAATAATGATTTTTGTAACCGAAGGCTGAGGGTAATCGGATGTTTCAGCTGGGTTTAAAACAGGCATTAACTTGCGCCATGTGATTCTCGGAAATAGCTTTACAGCACGCAGAGCGTTGGCCCTTCTATATAACGGATCCATTGAGCGCAATTATTTCACTTCATCGTTTGCTGTAAATATAAGTCGGAGCGGTCGGTGTTGTGTCGTTTCTGATGGGTTAGATGTGAAAGAAAAGCTTCAAATATAACGATTAAACGCCTGAGTCGACTGAATAAAACAGCCCTCGGAGAAATATGTTTGCTGCCCATGTGGGGTGTTTAATATATTCCAGAAGACTATAATCAAACCCTTTCCTCACAGATAAGAGATGCATGTAAGGAAAGGGGCTGAATAAAAAGCAATGGGCAGCAAAGATGATAACATTTGTTTATCTAGGATTCGGTAATCTGGACGGACTTTCCCGTTAGAGATAAACGCGTGTGTACAAAGCATAAAGTGTAAGATTTAACGAGGGTGCATCTGGCCTGTCTGAGGAATCCATCTCTTCGGTCCTAGTGAAGGCACTGTTATTCATAAAGTATATACATGCTGGTCAATAATAAACCCACTCCTAACTCTTTTCGTTGATTGTAATCCGTCGTCGAACTGCACTTCTTTGAGGGTGATTAAGTGATACTTGAAATACTCAGGCTTGCATTTTCCTTACTTTTTTTTCTAACATGGACTGTACTGAAGAATATTATTATGTTTTTCATTCTCTATATACCGTGATATATTTTAGCAAAATGCCAGGGGGTTTGCCTGTTAGTCACCTACGGCTTGAAAGTGCCGCTTTTATGAAGGCGTGCGAGCGGCGTCATCGTCCCTCATCCCCGATCCGCGCGCACCGACGTCTCGTGGCATCGCGAGGGACTGCGGAAAGCAATCATCTTTTCCACAATAAGAAAAGACGTTAAATCCGATTAAAGGCAAGATTAATTCGCGGGGTGGCACGGGCAAAATAAATGCAGATGAAACTGAAAGGGAGAAAGCGGTCTTAGCAATGCAAATGTAGCTGTCTGTTCCCTTTAACGGACAGCTACTGGCATTTCCGTGGAGTTCGTCCAGCAGTTTCACATATCGATGTCAGATTTTTTTTGACACCTCGGTGCATACGAGGATTATAATTATGTTGCAAGCTTTTGCAAAAATGAGATACCGAGCGCGTTTTTGGAAAACGAATATGAACCTTTATAAAGTTAATCTTCAGAAGGTTGGTTTAGTAATAACGATGATATGGCAAAAGCGGTTCATGTCAGTTCTCTCCTGTTTGGTAATATTTGTAAATCCTCCTCTTAATAGCCTTTCCATCAAATGAGTTGAGTTTATTCTCGTTGAAAAGGTCAGTCTTAACCGGATGCCTGTCCAGTGATTTTATATTAGTTATTTGCTGTTTAGTTTTATATTTTGTTTTTCGTTTAGGCCTAACTTGCACAAACTTGGGATCCTTCTGCAACTTCACCTGTCTGTTGCAAATTCATTTTATTTTTTAAAGGCCCATAGTGTCTTTCACAACAGAGTCACCCAAGGCGCTTTCCATGGGTGTGTTGTGATACAATGCAACATCATTAAGACAGAATAATACGAAAACGGGGAAAAGGAAAGACAGAGAAATTAACTAAAGAAAGCCAGATGACAACAGAGGAGAGAAACAAAAAACTCCAAGTAGGGAGAAATGAAACCTCTGGGGGTCCAAGCCCCCCCCCCCCCCCCAGGGCATGCTAATATTATAGAAAAAGAAAGAGTGGGCTTGCTTGCTAAATGCAAGGTGCAAACTGTGGTCAAGGTCAAAGCCAAACTCCATCAATGAGTCAGTTGTCTATGCTGGCCTGAGTAGGGGGGCAGACTGATGGCTGCACCCTTGATGTTACAGTTCGTGAGTCACATGCACAATGTTACAGTTGCAGTTCGTAAGGCACATCCATGATGTTACAGTTCGTGAGTCACATGCACAATGTTACAGTTGCAGTTCGTAAGGCACATCCATGATGTTACAGTTCGTAAGTCACATCCACGGTGTTACAGTTGCAGTTCGTAAGTCACATCCACGGTGTTACAGTTGCAGTTTGTAAGTCACATCCATGATGTTACAGTTGCAGTTTGAAAGTCATATCTATGGTGTTACAGTTGCAGTTCATTAATCACATCCACAATGTTACAGTTTGTAAATCACATCTACGCATGTCACCCTTCAGGTGCTTCCCTGTGTTGAGTCACTACTGAAAAATATATAAAAGCAGAAAAAACAAGCAACTCTGCTATGTCTACAAGGAGCACTGATGTGTATGTTTCATGGAAATTCAGAAGTTCCCCCTACAGTGTGGGACCAGTGAAACTGTATAACTCAATTCTCGTGCTTCTTCAACCACTAAATAACATAAGTGTTGTCCAGGGGTTACATTCTTGTAAGACACACCTGTCCCAGCAGGAAAGGAATGTTGCATTATGGGAAGTATATAGCTTCCTGGGGTGATGAGAGCGGGATCCTGTGTCTGTTGGATCGACCAGCTGCTACAGGGTATGTGTGGCTTTACAGTTGGGAATCATAACCAGGATGAGCTCGGATTTGGAAGGGGGATTACAGAGATGTTCCCCAGAGATAAAGATGTTGCATATTTAAAGTCTGTATTGCTCCAGAATTGAATTACTGCTCTTTTCACAGTCCCCTGGTGCCCGCCCCCCGCCCCTTCCCTGCTGTATTCCCTATTAGCGCCACGGGACAGGAACTCATTGTGTGACGCTCGTTGTCACGGGAGCCACGGCGCAATCGGAGCCGCCGCATTGTTTACTCGCGCTTCCGAGGGGTTCGGCGAAATAATGCCACAAACTTGCCGGCTTTCAGAAAATGGCCTCCTGCGTTTCCTTCTGCTTAACTGGCACATGCGTTGCTATAAAGAGGTGGACTAAGTGATCACCTCTGTCGCCTTATGGTCCCCTTGGACTCTCATTTGTTTCTGATTAAACTGGATGTCTCTTTATAAGGTGAAGGTTGTTTAAATATTTCACGGCTGCCCTCCAGGGTTTGATTAATACATAATGTGAGGCTTGACGAGGCATATCTTGGGGTCCCAAGTGGCCACGCATGAGCACTGTATTGTTGTTTGAGTTCAGAGACTGTTTTGAGGATCTGGCAAAATTGGGAGGTGTTTATTCCAGATGCCTTCTTCACCTCTTGTGAGCCCACGCCCCTCCTCCATCCTGTTCACCCCCAGAAGCCTCCCCAGGGGATCATCTGAGGAACTTGATGATGATGTATTTAGTTGCCACGTCCTGTAACCCAAGCAGAGCAGAAAGTGACTCAAAGAGAAGGGGGAGCTTGCAAGCTGCGGGCGCTCGCTGAGTGATGCCGGACAAGCGGCCCGACGAAGGCAAGTCAGGAGGTCATCTGCTCCGCGAGGTAACTGCACATCATATCATGTAATACACTGAACATGTCTCTGGGTAACTGGCATCCCTATCCAGGGGGTTCCCATGCCCTGTGCCCTGAATGGGCTGCAGGCTCTCTGTGACCCTCTAATGGATTAGTGCTCAGATGGATAGCTGGCTCTTTCTCAGTTGATATATGTGTATTTTTATCGGGACCGACTCTGTGCAGGGTCAGTTTCACCCGTTTGTTTTTTTTTCTGCGATTAAATCCTGTCAGTTTTTTTTAAGCTGCGGATAATTAGTATCAAGGAACAAACTTGCTGTACAGGCTACGGTAAATGCCTTTTTTCCGGTGCCATCGTTGCAGTCAGTTTATTTTCGCTGCAGGTCTGATGTGCTCGGGGCTGACAAGTCATCCCTGACGGGGGAAAACCGCGAAGGGTCTGTAATCTGATTCATTAGAGACGAGCGAGTCCACTGTGTCAAGTGAACTGGAAAGACGTCATGGATTTTTTCCCCCCGGTAATATCTCTGTCATAAATAGGGGATGATTCGCACGGTGGTCGCCCCGATCTAGAGTGTGGTCTACGTTTTCGCTCCGCTGGTCTCTCAGAGCCTTTTCGATGGGGGATAGAGAGACGCGTTTTTCCCCTCCCGGCTATAGCTGGCGAAGCCTTTGCGATCGCGTTCAAGAAAAAGCGAAATTATTTTCCTACTTTAAGAACATTCTGTTCTAAGCCATCTCTGCATTTTCTGTAATGTATACAAACTTTCTCTAAGGAATCTTTATTTAATATCAGGCACATTATACCTGAAAAAACAAATCAGAATTAACGTTGGAAACGGCAAATATTTGCAGGGAGCGTTAAAGAGACGGAATTCAAAACCTTCCTTGCTGTCCTTGGTTCCATTTGCACATTGGCAAGGTGTCAGTTGATATTGTGGTGGTTAGTGTGTTTATATATATAAAAGATTCAGGCTTTGCATTGTCGCACTTTTACGCAAATTGTTCTATGTGAGGTTTTTATGCCGGGTTTGTTATTAATGAGATCCATAAAAACCAAACTGTGGGATGTTGCACATATTACAGGTTCAGCAATCCTAAATAATTATGATGCTAGTGATGCCCCCTGGCTAAGGGCTACGCGGGATGCCAGCCTATGCCTTGTCCTCTAATACGCTCACGCACCGCAGACCACAGTTGACGATTCGCGCGAACGGCGTGTTTTGGGGGCGTGGACGGAGTAT